ATTCATTCTTTATTAATGACTGAAAGGTCTGACATGTCGAGGGGGCAGTAGAGGGAGTCTGAAGGGGGACAGGCTGAGTTTAGAACATTCATTAATAAGGGCAGAAAGTACGAGAGCAGGCAAGTTATAATGATCTTATATAAGACACTGGTTAGGCCTCAGTCAGAGTATTGTGTACAGTTCTGGATGCTACAGTTCAGGCAGAATACACTGGAGTGAGTAGCAAAGGGATTTATGAGAATGGTTCAGGGATAAGATAGCTCAGTTATGAAGAAAGAGTTGAGAAGTTGGGACTGTTTTCTGTGGAAACAACAGGCTAAGAGGAGATTTGATAGAAGTTTTCATAATCATGAGGCATCTGGACAGAGTGGATAGAGAGAGTGGATAGAGAGAGACTGTTCCCACTGGGCTCAAGAACTAGAGGGCACAGTTTTAAAAGCATTTTGCAAAAGAAGCAAATGCAAGGTGATAAAAAAGACTTGTTCACACAACACACACACACACACACACACACACACACAGAGCGAATTTGTATTTGTAGATACATTTTACTTTGTTCCAAAAGCACACAATTTATAGTCAGTCAGTTAATGAGGCATTTTATAAAATGCCTACTTTAGAAATAAAACCAGTTTGAACCCAAACTAAAACACAAACAGATTCTAAACAAGATTGCACACCTAACGCGCATTGCCTGATCTAAAATGTCACCTGTCTTTGAACTGATAAAACCTTTAGTTCTCTCAGGACCATGGCTTGAATGAAATTTGGGGATTCACAGATACATATTAATCAATTAAAATCTTCCAACTGATTAAAGATTTAACAGCATCTTAGGTTTGTTTAGTACATCCTCCTCAATGGTGTGAACCTTTGATCTTTACTTATAAATTCTGTGTTTGATACTACCTCTCTCACTAACACCTGAAAGGAGAGGCTCCGAAAGCTTGTGTTTTCAAATAAGCCTGTTGGACTATAACCTGGTGCCATGTGATTCCTGACTTTGTCCACCCCACTCCAACACCAGCATCTCCACATCACACAACAAGTAGTTAAGATCTGGAATGCACTGGCTGGAGGTGTGATGGATTGGTCTCCTTCTGTGCTGTAACATTTCTGTTTGCTGTGATTTTATGAAGAGCAGGGGAGTCCTATATCTGATAGTCATTCCTAATCAGCATCACTAAACAAGATGAGCTGCTCATCATCACCCACAGCTGTTTATAAAAGAGCTTGCTGTGCATAAATTGGCTGCCATATCTTACATGTTGAATTCATGCTGCAGTTCAAAAAATCTTAATAGGATGTCATTATGTGTTTGTAACAAAATCCCACAAAAAGCACCGAGGAAATGCAAGTCTTTTTGAATTTTTATCAATGATAGAGAAACAGTGCCCCTGCAACTACCAGTAGTCATCTTAACATACAGATATTGGCACAATTCAAGACCAACCTGAGAAAGACTGATTTGTGTACTCTCACTTATAGATGAATGTGTTGGGGGAGGGTGCTGGGCTAATGGAAGGGAGCCAACCTGAAAAGGAGTTCAGTAAGCCTGTCAGTTCAAAGGAATTCAAAGAAGAGAAACTGTCAGGAGACAATAGCTGAAGATACGGTGACACAGGAACAAGGCAGGAAGGAAAACAAGAAAGGAAAACAGGACGCCTCTCTCTCATTGTCTGGAAAAACCTCGTTACTTGTAAATACTTCCACACTCACACAGACAGCCCAGAGCTAGCTCCTGTTCCCTCCACTGATCCATAGCGCTGGGAGGCATAGGGATCTGGGAAGGAGGGCGACATGGTTATTTATCAAAGCTTATTCAGAGTGCAGAATGAACTTCGTCACAAGTCAGTGAAGCCAGCATGGGGTATCATTAACATCCACACGCCAGCAAGTAATGTAATACACCCCTGCGACGCACATACTATGTAACACTCTCATCCCCAATCTGACTCATTGCCTCTAATGGACTGGCACACCATTAGCAATTTCAAACCAAGCTCTTCATAGAATCCCTACATGTGGAAACAGGCCATTCAGCCCAACAAGTGTGACTCTCAAAAAAAGCATCCCACCCAGACTTATCCCCCTACCCTATACCTCTGCATCTTCCCACGGCTAATCCACTTACTTAACTTACATACGCATGGGCAGTATGGGCAATTTAGCATGGCTAACCCACCTCGTCTGTGGGAGGAGACCAGAGCACCCAGAGGAAACCCACATAGTCACAGGGAGAACGTGCAAACCCCACACTCAGTCACCCGAGGCTGGAATCAAACCTGGGCCCTTGGCCCTGTGAGGCAGCAGTGCTAACCACTGAGCCACCATGCCACTCAAGAATTACTCTACACTTCAAAGTAAGAGCAAGTCTCTGAAAGACCCCAAGTGAAACTATCCCTTCCACTAACTTCTTTGAAGCAACACAGCACGCTTGAGGGCACTACTTGAATTCAACACCTCAATGTACAGTAACATTGAGAAAATCAAGATTCTCACAATCCAAATGGTTCAGTTGGTTTCAGAAGAAGGGGACAAGAAGGTTGGCTTGCACTTGTATGATATCTTTCATGATTTCATATCACTTTTTCTCTCGATGAAGTATGTTTAGAATTCACTGTTGTGATGTAGAGCAAACAGCAACCAATCTGTGCACAGCTTATCTCCCACAATGAGCAACAATATCGCAACCAGATCATCTGTTTTTAGAGCTAATTGAAGAATGAACATTAACTGGACACTGGAGTGAAATCCCCTGCTCCTTGTTTGGAATATTGCAGCCCCTGAGGAAGCAGACAGCACCTCAGTTTAACATCTCATTCAGAAAACAATCAATACCTCCAACTGTACAGCTCTCCCTCAGCACTGACCCTCCGACAGCGCGGCGCTCCCTCAGCACTG